GGTCCCACATCCAGAGAGGTGGGAAGGATGGCACATCATGGGATGCTCATCTGTCCTTACTGAGAGCTGTTCTGGATTCACTGAACTAAGGGATCTACTAAAGAGATCTTAAACAGCCAACAAGACATTCCACTTTTAGACAGCAAACTTTGTGAGCTTAATCCCAGCTACATCTCCCCACTGCTGTGACTGTGACAACCATTCAGGAAAGACAGACTGCTGTGCCTGTTTCACCACACCACATCAGTGAGTTCCTCTTCATACACACACAAGCAGCTGCTTTCACCCTTCTTTTGCTCCATGCTTCAGACTGCTGAGCACCCAAAATCTCTCTCTGGTCTCAACAGGAGACAGTTGCTGGGTGCTCAGGACTGTGGAAACGAGTCATTCCATTTAGCCCCTAAATATGGATTTAGAAGGCTAACTTTAGCTTCAGATTTTTTTAAACTTGGCATGGTATTAAAATCCATCCATGGGGCAAGTTAATTTTTTACCATCAAAGAGTAGTAAAACAACTTCTCCAAGGTCATACAGCAGGATGACTAGGATTAGAATGCCACAAATTCCATGTGCTATAACCAGAAAATTATTCTGTTTCCTAAATGTAACATAATTGGGACACAGTCTGATAAATGGAGACTGAGTAAGCCACACTAAATCTACTGATGTGTTCTGCAATGTCTGGATGCATCCCCAACCCTAGCTATGAAAGGAAATGTAATTATGGTAATGAGAAAGTACAGTCCACCCATCATTTGGGTTACCACACGCATACGTAACCGATTCCAAATATAGAACTGCAGTAACGTCTCCTACACGCTTATCTCCCATTGGATCCCTTTTCCTTAAGTTATACTCTTGCCATCTTTTCCTCTGACAGGAGAAGCAATTTATTTTGGTGTATGCACAGCAGCTAAAGGGCTATCACATCCTTCAGGACAAGGGGAACAGCTGCTGAACGTTCACCAGAGCTGACACCGGGGCCAGACACTTTCCCTTGCCCACAGAGATGTAACCAGTGTGTTTGCTCAGGCGCAATGCTGGGGACGAAGGAGGGAAGCTAAGTCTGAGGAAGAACATTCAAGGAGGAGAGGAAGATCAAGAAGCCAGAAAGTTTTATAAAGCACCTTTGTGTGTTGGAATCTATGCCAATTTTAAAAATGAGGTATATGTCCCTTAGTGCAGTCTTAAGCCATGAATGCAAGTCAGTGTAGGGATTCAGAAGCCTTATTTAAACATCCTAGTTTGGCTCCAGAGAAGCAGAACAGCATAGCACACAGTCCAGGCTAACTTACACAGCTCTGCCATGGCAGTTTAGACCAGTCAGTGCCCTGGGTGTATAAAGGTCTCTGTGCAGCGGTGAACTCAGCATGCATCACTCACTCGGTTTACATCACCTGGAGGACATGTCTTCATGGTGGTGCAATGTGTGTGTGTAACTTAAAAATTCCAGCTGTGGCTCCAGAGTACGTGCAAGGGATCCTGATGACAAACATTCTGTCTCTCCTGCCTGTCTGCAATCCAAAGACACAATGCCAGACACTTTTCCTCCTGCGGTGGACTGGCATGCAATTATTTTTGTGCACCTCAGCTTGTCTTGGTTACAAAAAAGAGAGGAAATATTTTAATAATTTTCATCTTCTAAACCAGTGTGGAAGATATCTAGAAATCCAGTTTCACCAAGTTTCTGCAGGCAAAGGAGAAATAGGTCATTGACAGGTGTTTATAAAGGTATTCAGAGGTATCTGAAGCTGAAAAAGAGTGCTGAGTGCAACCTGAAAATATTAGTACTTTAGGCTATCATGCCTAGATATTTGCCATGAGTTACAGGAATATAATCAGATGTAGCAGAGGCAGCAGTATTAGAGAAATGGATTGTGACCTGCACATCCTCACATGAGGCTTCTTGGAACTGCCTTGGTTTTATGCTGAGCAACAGCATGTCACAGCAAAGGAATCCCAGACATGGCAGGAGCAGCCAGTCCCAGAGCGTTGGTTACATCTCCTGGACACAGTCACACATCAGGGCTTCACGCTGAAAGGACTTTCTGTCCACTTTCCACTCAAAAAGTAAGCAACACCACAGCTCTGTTCTCAGTGAAAATAACACTAAATTTATGTGCATCTGGACCAGTTCTCAGGATGTTGTAAATTCAAAAGACTTTAATTTCTGTTTCAGAAAACAAAGGAAGAGAAAAATCAGCAGATTACCTCTTATACCATCTGCCTTTCTTATTGCCTGGAATTAACAAAGATGATGCCTGATAAGGCATGGATGGAAGAACTAAAATAGAGAAGCACTACAGCAATGCCAATAAATTCAATCCAACCAAATCAACAGCAACTTGAAGGCTTTCTGGATGCTCTACAACCCACATGTAAGAGTTCCTCCAAGTCCACTTCCTGCTACAAATGTACCTGCACCCCAAGTTATCTGTAGAGACTGTACATCTGTAGAGACAGAGGCCAATAGCAGCCAAATTGCTTCCTGACACAAGATAGCATAACCTCTCCAATTGAATATACACCACATATACATGTTGAGGAAAGGATTAAATACAGTATGGCAGCTGCATGCAGAGTAGCCAGGGCCTGACTGCCATACATGTCCTTTGCTGTAGCCTGCTACCCTGGTTCAAAGATTATCTGAGATGCTGCTACCATGTTTATTTTGGCTTCATTTTGATGCAAGGGACTACATGAAATATCACACACGCATGCACACCACAAAGATAGGCCTGCTTCCAGAGCTATCAGCAGCAGCTTTGAAAAGTTCTATATGTACCTTAAAAAAAAAAAATCAAAAAGAAAAACAAACAATAAAAAAAAGCCATGTTGAAGAACTTATTTTTCTTACCTTCAGAAACAGCTCTAGCACTCTCTAACACTCAGGCTAGCAAAAACCTGGTATGTTCATCTTGGCATTTCAAGCACATACACACACACACATGCGCATACATACACAAACCTATGCAGACCCAAAACTCTCCCCAGGAACCCAGCCTTCCCTTTCCAGGTACATACAGTACCTGCATACACTGAAGAGACAGAGGAAGAAAAACCATGTTTCTCACACAGCCATTTTATTCTGCTTGCAGGAGTTCCTTTTCCAACCACAGGCAAGGGCTGAATCCAGAGAAGCCAAAGGCACTTGAGGCGAGATGTAAATGAGACCACACCTTCCAGACAGACTCCAATCACAAGGGAAGAGCATGGATGTAAATAAAACCACACCTTTGCTGGACTAGCCTTCTCTTCTTACGTAAAACATTTTCCATCTAAGTAAGGCCACTCCCTCGGACAGGCTGCCTATTTCCATTTGTGATGAGAGGCGTGTAGGCAAGGCCAAGCCCTTTCACAACCTCTTAAGTAAAACTTTGAGATTATTGTAAGTTTTACCCTTCTCTGGCTCAGAGAAGACTAGTTCCTTCTTTGGAAAGTACTTTATTGCTCTGCGTGGGATCTGATGAGCCAGCACATATCTTTCCTCACTCTTCCTGTCAGGCACTGAAGACTGCTTTATGAAAAACTGCTTATAGAACATGGATACACATTTCAACGTGCAACTTTTACGCTGCACTGACAAGCCTTCATACTGACATTAGATGGGTGCCTTCCTTTCATGTGGGCAGAATTAAAAAATACAACAATGGAAATATGAGATCCTTCTGCATTTTCTCCATTCTCTCTTATATCCTTCTTTCCACATGCACATCCAAATCTGATTTCAAGATTTCCAACCCAGATCAAATGCAAGAGACTTGTCCCAAAAGGTAAAGAACTAAACTGCATCCAGGCTTCAGTATAACTGTTTCCAGATGTCAGAGCTCACTATAATCATCGATTTTGGTTTGGGTCAACAAGCGATGTAAATATCAGTAAAACCTTACTATCACTTAAAGAGGGTCTTTAACTACTTGGACACAATTCAGATCTCTAGGTTAGGAAGACAAACAACTTGAAGGCATACTGAGAGAAAAAAAACACTGTTCTCTTCTATATTTCTCACACAAAGAAAGTCCTGGAGGAATGGAAAAAAGCAGACTCAGTTTCCTAGAGAAAGATACACGAGACAAAGTGCGTACAATGGTGCACACTTTATCTGAAAAAGGTGGTTTTTAATAAAATTGGGAAAGGGTGTACTGCATTTCCACAGAAATGGTATGTTCACAGATGTTATCCAAGTTTAGAAAAACAAAAACATCCACATTTTTTGATGTTTGCACCAAAGGAAAAACTGCTGCTTTGGACATTTGATGGAACACAGCTAGAGGAAGCCAATACTATCGTGGCTCCCACCAGTGATACAAGAGGCCAGGAACTGTCAACATTTTCCTTATAAATATATCTTTCAGAAGAGTCTAAATAGGCTTTAAATGACTATAGCTGGGACCAAAATTTGGATTGTGAGATCCCTGGAAACAAATCTGCATCTGGCAGCTTACAAAATTCCAGTCTAGAGAGACCATGACAGCGGAAGAGGGATAATTTTTTTTAGTGGTTAAAGGTATCTATCTTGTTTGTGCTGCTAATCAGTGATCAGAAACCAAACAGGATGTTTGGAATCAGTTCTGATGAACACCCAGAAGTCTGCATGCACATTTAGCCATCTCCTCCTTCTTAAACATTTTCTTCTTAAACATACAGCTGACACACAATGCAGGCTGTCTTGTGATGTATCTGGAGCTCACATTTCCAGAGACATCCTGGACAAATCCCAGCAAGAACCACAACAGGAAAAGAAAGATTCACAAACAATCTTGATTTTTAGAAAATAATTACTTCATGTCCAGGCTTAAAACCTAGCTATGTCTAAAACACAATTATTATAATAGGTTAATGATCCAGTTCATTAGACCTAAAGGGTAGCACTTAAAACCATATATGCAGTTTTCTTTTTCTGAGCCAGTCCCTCAAAATCTCCTACCTACTCCAGAGCTGTACATTTTAACGAGAGACAGAAAGGAAGTAAAATGAGAAATGGAGTAATAGGACAGGTCTGATTTGGCAGATTTTTCATTTAATGCACTGAGTGGTACCAGTTTCCATCCACCGCTCCTGCCTCATTGCACTGTTCAGTGGCTCCAGGCCTCTCACACACTTGTAGCACATTCCAGCTATTTGCTTCTACAGCTTCCTTTGACACTTCGACTTACATAGCTGTAAAAATGAAAAAAAAGTCAATAGTGAAGTTCATTAATGTTTCACTTTACCAGGCTAATTAGGTGTTGGGCAGAACAGTAATGGGTCCTGCTGCAAAACCCACCACGTTCTACTCTTGCAGTAAATCATCCATATGTTTTTCTGTTCTACAGCTTGTTGAACTTCCCCCTCCGCATTTTACTTTCTTGCTATTTCTGTTCCAGCTTATGCCATGTTCCTCTTCTTCCTCAGTCTTCCTTTCAACTGGAACACCTCTAAAATACCTGCACTCTGGGGAGATATCCATCACAGGTTATTGGTTCTCCTCTGTTTTACCAGATTTTACAAGCTCTTTTGCACAAACCTGCTCTTAATCTGTGCAGCACAACTGGCAAAACCTGGACCTCTTCGAACAGAAGAGGCCTCTTCACACAGAAGCTCTGTTTTACACTCCTGCAACACTGCATACAACTGGTATCCTTTGCATATCAGTCTACTATTAAAAATGTCTTACCCCATCAATTATGTCTCAAACCTACTAGTTGAACAGATTATATAAATCCCTTATATTTTAATTAGCTTATTAACTCAATCTTTTAGGAAGATGGTCTCTTGAACTCATAGGCTTACCACAGAATTATTTTGTGAACCAAATCTATATAACAGTATGTGAGAGAAACTTTGAAACAAAATATTACAAGAGAGAAACTGCAGTTGGTGAGAGACCAATAAACACACTGTAAATTCTAAGGGTTTTCACAAGAAACACTGAGTCGTGAATGACTATTCCAGAAATGGAAAAATAGAGAGTCTCTTGACATCTGAATAGGGTGAACAGGCAGTGGTCCAACAAACAAATCAGAAGTGGAAAGAGAAAAAAATGTCTTTTTGGATCAGAATAGTTTAAAAAATGAAAACAGGGATTAAAAAGCAAGAATTAAAACATGAGAAGCTGAAGTCTATTCCCATATTTTATTGCACCACTTAAAAGAAAGCTAAATGCAGGCTCTGTCCTGATGAGAAGCAACATCCTCTGTTTTTCTGCCAATTTTAGATAAGGCTCACTGTCAAAAATGGGGTTTAAAATAGGATGGGATTTAAATCAGTGCACAGACAAAGAGGTCATGCTACTTCTTCTTTCTGCAAATGCAGGAGTGACTTTCCTAAGCTGTGTACTCTAGAGGTGGTAGACCAGGTAGACATGGCTCTCCCCTCAGCTCTTCCCCATGCCACTCTGAAAAGCAAGTAGTCCACATGGGCAGCTGCTGGTAACACTGACAAGTGCTGAATGCTACTGCCCTTGGCTGTGAAAGGCAGGAAAAGCCCTGAAGGAATAACCTGCACCAGCCCTCTGCCCTGCAGGCACTGGCAACGCACTCCATAGCTGAGCCCTCTGAAAACGTCCCTGGCACATCACCCTTCTGGGACATGCTTGAGGGCTGAGGGCAGAAACCCAACTACTACTAGTTTGGAGGGCTGTTCAGTGTTAGAATACCTAGATTAAACTCAAGAAACACGAAATGGTCCTGAAGCAGCTGTGAGGGGAGATAAGGTCCTTGTGTGTGTGAGTGTCATCAGAGGAAAGTTTGGTACCCTCAGGTCTCCAAAGATCTCAATGGACTCAATCCCTGCAACTGCACCTCAGAAACTCCCCCTGCAACTCCAGCAGAGAAAAAGCATGACAAACAGCTACCATTTCTCTAGAGGTAGCAAAGCTTCCACCCACCCTCCCAACTATACTGCACACTCAAGCACAGGACTCCTATGAAAGCACAGAAAATGCAGAACGATGGCTGAAGGTCTCCAAGGCTGTCATCTGTGATTGATCCCTACCTGCTGCACTCACTGGCCTGCACCCAGTGATCTACCTAACCCAAGGCTCCGTACTGCAGTGACAGAAAATGGTAAAACTGCATTACCAAATTTGCTTTAACATAATAGGCTTTCATGATTCTAAACAAATCATAGGATGGTTTTAAGTGTTCCCTGATGAGGGCCAGAAAACATTTTTTCTGCTCTTTGAAGAAGACTGGGTTTCCAAACATGGCTTCAGCCCTACTTACAGTGATAGACATTAAAAAAATGTCACTCAAAGTGAAAAATTTAGAAGTGTTTTTGAGGACAATCAAGACCAGTAGGAAATTCACACAAAATGGATTTGAAATAAATACATCCAACATTTCTCCCTTTCAAAATCAAACCAAATCATTGACATGTTTCAGAGCAAAAAAATTCCAAGTTTTTTCTCAGCTTCATTTTGCTGAAAATCAACACAAGCAATGAACAGGGTCCATTTCACCAGGATTTCTCTTTCTAATGAAAAAAAATTCAGTCAAAGCTCCCCAGTTGCCCTAGAAATTTAGGAAAAAAGACTAGAAATGTTCCTAGTGTCTTTGTCTCTCAGCTGGGAAAATGATAAGCTCTATAAAATGCATAAGACAGATGAACAGATAGGCAAGCAGATGTTCACAACTTTGAAGACAAACCAAAAAAATAGTCCTGGAATTCTGAAGGGGATTTTCATAGCTTGTCTGTAGTTCTGACTGGTTCCCCAATTGAAAAACAAATATATAATTGCCTTATATGCTCTTAAAAATAAATAAATAAATCTTGTCATAATTTTAAAGTGTGTTGATCACAGTTTATTTTTAGATCTGACAAACCACAGAAACATCTCCAAAAATATTCTAAAGAAGCAGTGACCTTTCCAGCTTGGAAAGCAGAGTTGTTTTAAAAACATCCTCCTAGCTATGGTACAGGCTAAACAAATCCATAAGACCCCTCAATGGCCTTCCCAAAAGTCTTCCACATTCACCTATACATGGTTTTATAAAAACTTCTCAACTAGGCTAGCAAAGGTCATCTTAACTATCAGCTCATACTCAGAAGCAGACCGAGGAGTCACCTCCTGAGGAGGAGAGCATTGCTCTGAAGACAGAAAAGGCTCCTTGTGGGAGCTTGGGCTGCAGTGGTGAGGAGTGACAGTGGCTTCATGTCTGTGCTAGAGAAGATACAGTTCACTGAAGACACAAGCAAAATGAGGAAAGGTGGTGAAAAGGCACTGGGACTCAGTCGTGGAAAATGATGGTCAGGAAAAGGAGAAAGCTTCCAAAATTAAGAGGGATTTGATGCACAAATGATGCAAGTAAGCTAATACTTTTCAAGGTGCAAAGGGCAGAGGCAGACAAGGAAAAAAGTTTTACTCCCCATGCTCTGGGGATGACATGTTACAGCAGGTCAGGCAGAGTGTCACCACTGCCCCATGGTGAATCTGCTGAAGATATCTACAGCTGGGTACTGTATGATAGCTAACTTATCTCATCCCCTACACTTACTTACAAATACAAAACTTCCTTCTAAGCAGGACCTGTCATTAGGCAAGAGGATCACCCTGCGTCTATTTCCATCAGAAGTATCCCAGCATCAAATCTTCACCAAAATTCTGGGCACTGTCTTAATCTTGTGAGATTTTTTTTTTCACTCCAGCTTTCCTGTTATTCCCATCTTAGTTCTCCCCAAAACTGTAATGCATTTGTTCCCTTAGCCCAGGAGTATCAAATATGTTTTTAGTCCTACAACTGTGTTCCTGCTTAGCTTTCTTGGTAAATATCTGTAGAAGAGATAGTTACCTTGGTACTTTTTGTTTTGTTTTGTTTTCTTTTCATATTATTTTTTATTATTATTTTTCTTTATGATCAAATAATGAGAATGTAGTGTTCTGTGTTGGCCTGAAGCATAAGCAGGAAAAATTAAGGAATTTTGAGTAAAAACTTAACTTTGGCAAGATGTGCTCTGGTGGCCTTCAAGAAATAAAAATTAGACACCTCATCTATTCAAATAAATTGACTTGAAATACAGCATGTGTGTCTTTCTTGCTGAAATTATATAATAAAATGTCAAGAGTACATAAGGAATCAGCTCTGGACTGATTGTCCAGATGTAAAACCAAGCCTCTGCAGGAACAAATCTGTGACCTCTAGCAGCAGTAACACACGTCTATAACTTTTCAATGAGAAGAATGATTCACATACACTACAGTAACTCTGCTGTCCGTTCATCCTAAACTACGATGAAGAGTCAAAACAGAAGGGCTGACACATGAAGTAAAAGTATTGGACTCAAAAAGGATTGCTGTAATTTCCCTCAGACTTATTTATTCTCTTTTTCTTTTCTTTCCTGAAAAGAATAAAGTGATGAAAACAGAAAACCTGGAGAAACTGGAATTACAAACCACGTAAAGCTGGTTTTGCTCTTGGTTTTGTCTTTGTATACATATTGATTCTTCGAATGCTACAAAACACGCATTGTGTCCAGAATTAATATCTTGAAACTGTGCTTTGTAAAAGCACTCTAACAGGGTCTAGGTATTGTGACACTGACACTGACACAGGTCAGTTTTCTCCAGGGTTTTATTATTGCAAGAGTCCAGCTGAGTGCAGTAAGCTGTGGTACAAGCTTCACTATGCTTCTGACTTTAACTTCTTCTATAATTCATGCACAGTTGGAATTAAGAAAAAAATTAAAAGTTGCTCTGAATGTATTTAATTTTATTATTTTCTGTTTGTTATTTTTACGTTTGGTTAACTTCATGAATTTGCAACAACCACACTAATTAAAAGTAAGAAACCTGAGGTTTAAGCACAAGTTTGGAAAATGTATATGTATTTTTTTAATCTTAGATATTTAGTTTTGAGCAAAACCAGTCTTGCATTCCTTGAGAATTTCATTATACTTAACAAAGTTGCACTCAAACTTAGGCATAGTACCTCCCAAAAGCATAAACAAATTCCTTATGTCCTACTTGGAAACTGGACCAATAATTCTCTCTTTTTTGTGTCTGTTAAGAACAAAGTTGTGGAGCAAGCACTGAATTTAACAATATGCTAAACATAAAGAATATAGATTTTGCTCAGGCTCCTTTTGATGATAGCTCAAAAGTCCAGGAATCATAGATATACAAAATGCACCAAAAAAAAATGTTACCCAAAGAATGGCTTTCCTTCCCAACCTATTTTCACCATTAAAACCAAAAGCAAAGACTTACCTGCTATATTCTTCTCTGCATTCTAAAATAACACATTTAGCAAGTGTTATTGCTATTTCTCATGATAGGTTACAGAAGCATAAATGTGTTTCTCCTTTAATTCCTCCTTTAGTCACACTTACTCCACCTCTTTACAGGTCTGTGCACTCAGATCTCAAGGACTTAGAAAATGTGCCTGATTCACTCCTTTCACTTGTTTTCCCGATCATTAACAAGTTCCTGAAAATTATTTCGTCCTTTCCCAAAAATTGTTAACTAAGCTGTCCAGTGATAAAACTTCCTAACGCAGACCCAAAAAGCGAGAAATTTGCACCGTGCACCTTGTTCCTGAGTGCAGCAGGGCAAGAGAAGGCAGGGACTGGCTACCAAAGGTGTGGAGAAGAGGAGCACCCAGACTTTGCTGCAGACACCTCTCTCTTCTTCTGGCAAATGAGTTTTCCCATGGCTGGACTGACCTGAGCACGGTTTCTTGGTGGTGAAACGCTGTGAAGGCAGTGGGAAGGAAGCTGCCAAGCCCACCTCATGCTTGGCTGGTTCACCTACACCACTCTCCTCACACACTGATTTCCCCACTTCCTCCGTTCCACCCCCCTCCACCGCAACCCTTCCCACACAAACATATACATGCACCTTTCTCTTCAGCCCTATCCAGCCTTTCCCACTCAGGACCTTGGCTGGTTTTCTCTGGGGTCAAGCTCAGATACAGCACATGGGCGGGAAGCTGACAGGAGGGGTAAATCCCTTCCCAACCTCTTGTTATTCTGCAATACTTCAAAATCAGATCCCACTCCAACTCCTGCTCTTTACCAGCCCATGTCTGCCCACATGTCTGCTGTGCAAAGCTGCACCCAGCCCAGCGGCAGGGCACAGTGGGGGCTGACAGGGCACGATGAGGGCTGACAGGGCACGATGGGGGCTGACAGGGCACGATGGGGGCTGACAGGGCATGATGGGGGCTGACAGGGCACGATGGGGGCTGACAGGGCACGATGGGGGCTGACAGGGCACGATGGGGGCTGACAGGGCACGATGGGGGCTGACAGGGCACGATGAGGGCTGACAGGGCACGATGGGGGCTGACAGGGCACGATGGGGGCTGACAGGGCACAATGGGGGCTGACAGGGCACGATGGGGGCTGACAGGGCACGATGGGGGCCTGGTAGCCGCGGGCACACGGGGGACGAGAGGGTGAGCCCGCAGCCACATCCTGCCTGCACAGCACCCACAGAGCCCAGTCACTCATCATCAGGCAGACAGGGTGGATTTCACCAAGGCTAACACAGAAACAACCCTTTTCTATCAAGTTAGCAAAACTTTTCCTCGCTGTGTCCTCCGCCTTGACTCTGCCTCTGCATTTTTTCTTCATTAGCCAATAGCCCTAATGTGGGAAAAGTCTTTTGTCAAACATGCAGGGATTTTGCAAGTACTTTACAACTCCCACATGTCATCTTCCCTCCTGAGGCAGGAAAACAATTCAGTCACATTCTCCTTACATCTGGACAGAAAAGCTGGTAGGAATGAATAAGAAAAGCAGCGTGGTTTTGCAAACCATTCAGCTTGTCCTAGCTGCAGAAACCCTCCAGCCCCTTTCTCCAACCAACCTTTTCATTCCTAGAACACCCACTCCTCTTTTGCCCCTGCTTTTCTCCCAGTGAGAGACTGGCCAGGGCACACACAAACACAGCACTCGCTTCGGTGGCTTTTTGGGCAGCGCAATCCTTTCCAAACTTCTACTCCCCCCTGTGGCAGCTTGACGGGAAAAAAGAAATAGAAAGTGCACTTCCCAAGTCATGCACTCCACTGTCACTCTTTGCAAGCCATTTATCCGGAAAAATAAAGATACGTGAAGGTTTAGGTAAGATATCACTGAATTTAAGAAGGTAAAATTAGAAAGCTGTTCCCAGGAATTTGAAAACCAACCCTCTGTATCTTGTGAGTGAGAGAAGGAGAAAGGCTAGTTCATATATGTTTTTAAAACTCACCTGAAAATTTTATTACAAAGTTTGTAACTCACAGAGGAACACTGTTAGGACAGATTTAAAGTTTTCAAATACCTTGCAAAGCTTAGGCAATATAAAAAGGCAGTTGATGAACTGTCTTTTCATCCCATGTCATTATTGAATCTTAAATAATCACACATCTCTACCTTGCTATTAAGGTTAGGCTTTTCCACAAGATCCATCACAGATAACTTCCTCACAAGAAATGCACCACAAATAACTTCTTAGGCTCAATCTTCATAAAAACCCCATTGTCCAAAATGGCCAAAACAAACACCATACAGTAAAAACCTAACCTTGATTTCTATTTAAAACCCTTTAATAAAAGGGTTATAAATGGAGTAATATGCTCAGAAACACTTGCTATTAGTGAAAGTCCTACCACTTTTACAACATCATGCTTATTACTTAAAAGCCACACATCAATAAGACATCTGTAGCAACATGGTTGTAAACTCTAGACCTGGGACCATTGATGTTTAAAACAACTAGGTTTCCTCAATTAGTTCCTGCAGGAAATCAAAATATTTTAAACATGTCCCCACTTCCCTAAAAATGCACATTTCTTGGAGTATCTGTTTTTCTCGTCTCCATGTGAAAAATGGTCTGACAGAGAATTTCCCACCAACACCAGAGGGATCAGCAGTCTAAGATGTTTTTCAGACCTGGCCCGGTAGTTGCTAAATTTCACACACATCCGTGGGTCAATAAGGAAGCCACCTTGGCTGTTGTAGGTTACATCCTAATTTCCCTGTCTGCGTCACTTTGTACAGATGTATTTACACAGGTCACATACCACACATCACTTGCTGAAAAAACAGACAGCCAAGCTGGCAGCTGAACCATCAGCTCATAGATCAAATTCTACAATTTTTTTCCAGAAAAATCATAGAATCTCTAAAATCCGGTGCCAGTGCGTTGAGGACATTATGTTCCTTTGCAGGTCAGTGGCTGCACTGTGCTTATGAAGCCCTCCAGAGGCATTACAGACCTATACAGTAAGCCAACTCCTCCACTTCCTTTGGAAGGACTGTGTAAACAGAAAAGCCCACTACACCAAGGTCAGTGAACTGAGGTTGCATCAAAAATGGGGGAGACATTTACCTCTTTTCTTTTCTCTGCAAAGAAACCACTCTGTCACCCACACATGTAAAAGTATTGATCCTATCCCATCAGACAACATGGAAAATGTATCCCACAGGATTCTCCCCAGGTCTCTACTCCACAGCAGCTACAACAAATATTAAGAGATCCCATAGTTTATGGCAAAGCAAACTGCATTTGTTAAGGGAAGTCCCTAATTTGGTCAAATCTTAATTAAACATTGATATCTCAGCTTGGGCGAAAAAACCCTACAAACCCTCAAAACTTACACTGACAGCTCCTGAAAAGAAAGAAGCAGGTTGAAAAACTGAAAACAAGATCACGTGCATTGTAGACTAAGCAGATCTGATTCATTCCTGCCCACATAATCCACGACAGAGTGGGAGGAAGTATTCGTCCAGCTGTTTTCCACGTGGTTCCTCTGAGAATCTCAAAAGGATTTCTGGTGTATGTTCTGAGTCAATCCCTGGCCACATTTCCTCTCCAGCCAGCAACACTGACTTTTTATGAATTGTTAACCATTTATGGGACAATTGTCAAAGGAGTGGTTAGTGACTCACTGCAGCCCTACACAAGCTGACTTACTACAGCAAGAGGCTGCAAACCTCAGTCAAATCTGAGAAATAAACAACTGAAAGCTTCTCCCTCCTTACCCACCTTTGCAAGCCATGGAAGGGTTCTAGCTTACACAGAAAAATCCAGAACACTGCCAGCCTCCTCACAGAAGTAGTGAATGCTGCTCCCTGCAGTGCTTCTAAGACCAGATCTGTGGCAAATTTTTCGGAAAAAGATAAACTGAATCTGAGGCTTGATAGGCAAAGGGTATCTGGCTTCACAGTACTCATAATCTCATTTTCCTACAAATAATTTTACATGTGCTTTGAGTACCCCTTTAGATTATTCTACTTCCAGTAATCACTTTGCTGGTTTAAGACCACATACATTCACAAAAACTCCAGTTACTTTTTAAGAATAAAGCCGAGTGCTTAAAGCAGCATTGTGAGGGACTCTGGAAGTAACAACATATTTGCATTTTAACACATAAAGAACAACATTATGGAAAACAACAAAACTCAAGTTTGCTAATGGGAATTGCATCTGATGATTTTGCTTTAGCCCAATGAGCCTGGACTTTTCAAGTCACAGTATTATGATGGTCAACAGTGCATTTAGTGAACTACCCAAGTGATGCCAGCAGAGGATCTGAACCAGTATCTTGAGGAACTTGGACTAGGTCCACCATTTCAGGAGCCAACATTTCCATAGGCCCTACACCATCCTCTGGTTCTCCCTGCCTTCTTTTTCTGGTTCACTTTGGAGAAGAGCTAATGGCTTTCATTAGTAAGATTAGTTGAAGTTAATTGTCATGGCTCCAAGGTGAAAGGAGCCACTTGAACCGAGCAGAAAAAATTGCACAACACGGATAAGTTGCTTGACAGATCCTGGAAAAGATGGTCTTTTCTTTGCCTTTGTTGATTCATGAGATCACGCATCTCCCCAGAAAAGGATGAGTAAAAGTTTAGAAAGTGGTTTGCTTCAGAGCCCTTTCTTTCTATGCCTACAGATACATAGAATAAACTACCAGATGACTTCTAAGAAAGAGAAATACCAGGCAACCACATTCATGATGGAATAAATCTCTTTATTTTTATTCTGTGTCTATTTCTGAGCTAGCAGAGTAAGTCTTGGAATCTGCGTTATAAGCAAAAGCCTACTAACGTAACTTTAACCAGACCTCTCAGAATTCTGAGATGTATTTATTACAATTTTAAAGAAATATCCTGGTGAGCATTTTGAGAAAGGAACTAATTGGCACACTAAACCTGAGGCAAGCCAGAAATGTCCGAAGCCAGCTACGAGCCTATCGTGATGATAAACAGCTCAGGGTCCAGATGTCCATATATGGCAAGACTTCCTATAAGACTGACAGTACTGTATGTGCATTGCGTATGGTTGTTGGATCAGATTCACATTCCTCGGGTATGTTTCTCTAGGAGCTTTTGATTTCCGCTTTGAGGGCTGGCTCAGACCTCCAATTGCTCTTATAAAAAAATATCTGTGACTGAAAGTTGAAAATGTGCAAGATTCTTTCTTTAAGTACACAAACACTCCAAGTCTAGCCACTTTCCTGTAGTCTTGCCAGGTTTTCACTATGTCTGATACCTGATCAAGTGACTTTTTGGGGGGAAGCAGGGGAAAAAAAAAAAGAAAAAAAGAAGAAGGAAAAACACAAGACAGGAATGTAGCAATCCACACCTGTACATTTTACAAGACTTCACCAACTGAAGCTGATGTAGACACACACATAACTGTATATAGCTGTGTAAACAAGTCTGCAAGGCTGGTGTAGTGAATTCCTAGTTTCAGCAGAAAAAATATACTATCTTAAAAGCATGTGCTGTATAAACACCTGCATGGAAGTCAAAATTAGTGCATTTTAACCATTTTATGCATCAGTGCCAAGATGTACTTGTCCAACCTGCGGCATACTCAAGAGGCACCTGGAAGTGGCATCCGCGGATATGGTTTAGGGATGATTATGGTGGGGTCACGTTGCCAGCTGGACTAAATGATCTTGAAGGTCTCTTCCAACCTTGAGGATTCTGTGATTGTCATCAGAAAGAACAAGCTGAAGACTGATTGGAGTCTTCAAGAGCTGCCTTTGCTTCTAAGCTCCCTTTGCCCCTGTGCATACATACACACACACACCAATGAGGCACCCATTGTGACACATCTGACAACACAGAAAGCAGGATGACCAAAAGGCACTGCTGCAAACTCTGATTCTTCCCTACCTGCATGTGCTGGTACAATTTGTAATTTAGTGGGCTAATGCCTGATCCACAGTGGTGAAAGACCAGAATTAGTTCTGAATTCTAATAACTATTCAAGCCGTTTTTCTCAGGGTAGCAAGTGTATGGGGCTTGGTGTTCTTGGCCTGCAGTGGAGGGACTTAGGACAGATTTATCCTTTAATTTTGGATTTCCTGGCTTTCTGGTAGTTTGTTACTTTTAAACATACTTTTTCTGTCACTGAGATTCTTAGGTTTTGTTTAATAAAATGGTATCTCTGAAAAAAACCTCTTACATGGAAAGTTATAAAACATGTCTAGAGCCTCTCTCTCTCTGATGTTCTCCTACCATATTTAGTCATTTAAAAAAGGCATTCTGTTTACCTGGTTACATTTGCATTTTGGTATGCATGTCATACATAGTTTGGTACACATACTATTTACCCAGCACTGAGGCCACTGGAGTCCTTCAAGTAAATACAGATTTTAGGAGACCTCATGGTTTTGGGAACATATATTATTTACCATAACTGTTCCTCTGAGATTCATTTTTTCTTTCAAAGCCAAGCTCATTTCTTTTAATGGAGAATTTCAAGTAGAAGAAATGACATCCAAATGACTTTACCAGACACAGTACAATGTTGGCAGAATATAAGTAGCAGTTTTACAGCACAATGGTCCTACTGGGACATTACATGGAAGACCTTCTTTTCCCCTCATGAATCCTGTTTTATTGCTGCATCATAGCATGGACAAATGCCTAGATATAGAGGGATGGAAAGAAGTGGGGAGCAAGGGAGAATGGCAGTGGGGGAAAGCCTGCATACAAAAGATGAGATCTCTTAAGGTAACTACCAGATTTTAGATGCATTAAGCCAGTCTCTCTTACTAAGCACTAACATACTTCCACAGGTCAAAAGCCAAAACATTGGCATTCCTTGCGTTAAAGTGGAGGTCAAACAACATGACATCACTGAATATTCAAATCATACACAGGAGGCAGGGGAAGAGCCATCCTCACGGTTAAAAAAAGAAAAAGAAAAAAAAAAAACAACAACATTAATCATAGAAGTTATCTGCAATGACTTAATGCAAGCCACAATGCTTAGGTCCTGGGTTCAGTCAAATACAAACCACAGTGTTAAGGTTTTGGCTGAGTGCAAAGGCATGCCATTCTCTTCTTGTTGTAATCCTGGGGCGGGCCATCAGCAAGGTTGGAAGCAGGGATGTGCGAGGAACGTGTTGCTCAGAAATGACAGCTGCACACAGGCAGTGGGAAAATAATAGCCACTTCTTCCATGCTTCAGACTCCACTCGCTGTGCCAAGTATTTCAGAGTAAATAGGCGCTCTCTCTATTCATAGAGAGCATCTATTAGGGAAGGAACACATTACAAATATTCAGTATGATTCAGTGGTACACAGAGTCAATTTATACCCGGTAGTGTAATTATACCTTCTTTCGGTGGTACCAAAGCGCCGGGACCGTTCGCCGCCGGACACGGGGTACCCCGCGCCACCCCGGATCCCAC